GATGCCTCTCTAAGTTTAGTCACTAATAAATACAGGAACCATTAATATTGGTTTTACCGTACAAATTACAATAACTAATTTGAGTATGACAATGGCACATTATTTAGAACATGCTCAACTTTCTTGAAGACATTGGTGTGCCACTAGTTAACTAGAAAAATTAGGCATTTTAAAGGATAAAATAGATGTTATCATGATTACTTAAAATTGAAATGTGAATCCCTGGCGCTGGTGATGAGAGTAACCAAGTCAATCTCCCCCATAAACTTTTTTTTACCAAAAAAATTAAAATTGAAATGCGAACTACTAGATTTTTTTGTTAGCATTTACAATATAACAAGTTTATTTTGCACCATAACTCTAATGGCAAGTTTACTAATGTGAAGTAAACACAAGAATTCTCCATAACTGGAATTCAATTTCTAATTCGAATTCCAATTCATGATTAGTAAACATACCATAAATGACCAACCATAATCTTTGTAATAATGTCCAATTTTCAAACCAAAGCCACTAATTACATACAAAAGGGCAATTGCATGCAGGTAACCACTTCACATATGCAATTACTCCATCTCTATTTGCTAATTGCAAAGCACCTCTTTTTGCATGCAATTGCTAAACAGTAAGGTGGAATTTGAAATTTAAATATGCAATTGCCAATTTGCTCAACAACGTTTGGATTGTTTCTAGTATGCAATTATCAAAATGAAGAATCACTTAATAATATCAAATGTAATTAAGACAAATGTAACACCTCGTCTCAAGTTGGAGATTTTATAGGTTAAGATAAGGGTGTATCTTGGAGATTTTATATTGAATGCCCTTATTTTGCTACAGCACAACCATATCAAGTTGGCAATTGACAAACAGACACTCTTTAATTGCGATTCCAATTTTGTGAAAACCGAATGCCTCATTGGTAATTGCCAAATGAGCTCTCATTTGATTTTTCTCCTTTCCATGATTTAAGTACCTTAACGTTGTATAAGAGGTACACATTCTCGTAAATGCGTACCCAACTGTTGTACCTTAACATTACTAGATTATGAATGATAAAGAACCTTAAAGTTGTAATGATGGTGTTAAAACTCGTAAATGGGAATTCAAATATTGTAATCTATGAAATTAAGGATCCATTCTATAAGTTTATGGAACACTAATGTCCAAACCATTATAATACGAGTCCTTAATGTTGTAAACAGTTGTGCTTACAAGAATAAGGACCAAGTTTACATGAAGGTCCACTTTTTCCTTAAACTTGTAATGAAGATCCTTTCTATTGTAAATTACGATATTACGAGTCTATGAATATACTTTATAAGTTTATGGAACGTTGACGTCCAAAACATTGTAAAAAGGTCCTTAATATTGCAAACCATTGTGTTTACAAGTATAAGGACCACATTTACTTCTCCAAGGTCCATATTTACCTTAAAGTTGTAAGGAGGAACCTTTCTACTGTAAATTAGGGTATTACAAAATTATGGATTAGGAACAATCTAAAACTTGTAATCATGGTGCAAAAAATCATAAATGATAATCCAAATGTTGTAAGCTACGAGATTAAGGACCACTTTACAAGTTTATGGAACTCTTACGTCCATACCATTCTAATATGACTCCTTAATGTTGTAAACAGTTGTGCTTACAAGAATAAAGACCAAGTTTACATCTCCAAGGTCCACTTTTTCCTTAAACTTGTAATGAATATATTTTCAATTGTAAATTACGATATTACAAGTCTATGAATACACTTTATAAGTTTATGGAACGTTGACATCCAAAACATTATAAAAGAGGTCCTTAATATTGTAAACCCTTGTGTTTACAAGACTAAAGACCATATCTACTTCTCCAAGTTCCACTCTTACCTTAACATTGTAAGGGAGATCATTTCTAATGTAAATTATAGTATTACAAGATTATGGATTATAAATAACTTTAAACTTGTAATGATGGTGCTAAAACTCGTAAATGGGAACCCAAATCTAATAATCTACGAAATTAAAGATCCATTTTACAAGTTTATGGAACGCTTACATCCAAAATATTGTAATTTGAGTCTTTAATGTTGCAAACCGTTGCATTTACAAGAATAAGAACCAAATTTACATCTCCAAGGTCCACAATTGCCTTAACCCCGTAATGGAGCTCCTTTCTATTGTGAATTACGGTATTACAATTTTATGGATATAGTTTACAGGTGTATGGAAGATTGAGGTCCAAAATATTGTAAGTGGGGTCTTTAATACTGTAAACCCTTATGTTTACAAGAATAAGTTCCACAATTACTTCTCCAAGGTCCACATTTACCTTAAACTTGTAAAGGGGATCCTTTCTATTATAAATTAGGATATTACAACATTATGGATTAGGAACTGCTGGAAATATGCCCTAAAAGCCAATCATATGATGTAATCTTTTAAGGATATTTCATGTACTAGACTTATGTTTAATTCTCTTAAGGGGCAAGTTTATTGTTTATTAGTAAATGTTTCATTAACAATTACACATGCTTAAATAATAAGTCCAAGGGATGTGAGATAGAGAGAAAGTAATCTAAGGAAGTTAGATTCAGGAGACCTTTCCTCTATTATCCTCATACCCTAAATGTTCCTAGTCATAGGATTGTCAAATGGGCACTGACAATCCGGAAAGACCGGTACATGCTATGTCTTCTCAATTGGGAGGATGACTAGTCTCAAGTCATTCGTGTGGAGATAGTAAGACAAGTATATAGGTGCTCAATAGAGAATGAGTTCACTGAACGCGATCGAACGAGAGTTTCTTGTATGGAAATTTTACTTATATGTCAAACAAGAAACTCCAGGTTACAATAATGCAAATTAGTCCTTGGACTTGAGCCACCATGGTTGTCTTGTGGGAAGGCTGTGGATCTTTAATGATGCTATAAAGACATGTCCTAATCACGGAAGTGGTACAAGCATTGTTGGGTTCTCAATTGACTCATGGAGACACACGAGTGTACAACATAGAATCTCTATCCTATTGGACAGATTTTACTCTATCTATTTCTCGCAAGTGCACGAACCAATTATAGTATAGGAATGCAAGCACGAGGTCGTTCCACAGAGACTTGGATGAAAGACACTTATTACTACTACTTAGACTCACAAGTAAGAGAGTTTCTTGTATGGAAATTTTACTTATATGTCAAACAAGAAACTCCAGGTTACAATAATGCAAATTAGTCCTTGGACTTGAGCCACCATGGTTGTCTTGTGGGAAGGCTGTGGATCTTTAATGATGCTATAAAGACATGTCCTAATCACGGAAGTGGTACAAGCATTGTTGGGTTCTCAATTGACTCATGGAGACACACGAGTGTACAACATAGAATCTCTATCCTTCAGTAAAGAAGGTAAATGCTCGAAAGATATGATTAAGCAAATCTCTAATCAGAGTATTCGATATGACCTAGAAGGATGTTCTTATACTAATATAAATCATATAAGACGTGACAATCTCATTAGGGGTTTGACATGCACCATGCCCTAGTAATGAGATTAAGAGCATTGTAATAAGGAAAGACCGTATTGCATTGTAATTCCAACTGAATAGGTTCTCTGCTTATTCTACTTAGCTTGACTAACCATGACATATGGCTGGGTGTCACTCATGGATGGTGGAAGCCCTAAGGACTAATGATTCTAACTAATATGGAGAATTAAAAGGGGGTTTTTAATTCACAATCAATTATGAAGAGTTTAAATTGCCCACAACCTTGCTAATTAGAACCTAATGGATCGCACACCGTTAAACTTGAGTTATTTGAGGAACTGTTATGGAGATGATGAATTGAAGAGATCAATTAAGCTTAGTTAATTGGTTAAGGCAAAATTAATTATGGAATTAATTTAAACGTGATGTCGAAATAGGCTTTAAACTGGAATTTTGAATTCTAGGCTCATTGGGCTTTATCCTGTTGGACATAGAGATTGGGTTGTATGACAACTTAAATGAAATTGAGCCCAAGAGGCCCAATTTTCAAGGGATGGGCGTTCATATGGGCTTTGGTTGCTAGAGTCAACTTGTTGACTCAAGTAAAAGATGACTATCATCTCTTTGGAAGCCTAAGGGGACATTAGTGAAAATCAAGAGAGAGAAAGAAAGCTCTTGTCTTCCAAAACTCTCTCTACACTTTCATACTACCTTAGTGAGGGATTACTAGCATCATCCTCTCACTAAGCTCATCATCTTCTTCTCAAGCTCTAGTTGGTGAAGAGACTTAGAGGTTACCTATTTTGGTGACTTTTGGAGAACCTCTCAAGTTGGAGTTTTTTGAAGGAGTCATTCAAGCTTTAACAACAAGGTGGAGATTTTGAAGGAGCCATTCAAGCTTCAACAACTTTGGTGGAATTCAATCATAGGGTTGAAAGCATGCATCAAGGGTAACTCCTCCTTCCAATCTTCTTAGAAGCATGTTCTAGGAAAATAGTACAACTATCACTTGGCTTAAAAGATTCATAGGAAAAGTTTTTGTTTTTGAACTCATAGATGCATAGTAATGGAACCATAGTGTCGAAAACAATGTATGTAAAATGCAATTGCCAAGCTAGAAGATATAAATTGCAAGATACTTAGAAGAGTTTAATCACTAATATATGCTGGAATGATTAATTATTTTTTTATGACAGTGATTGATGCTTTAGAAACATAATGGATAGTTGTGTTGAATATGAATAAGTGTTGTTTGTACAAAATATTGCAAAACTGTTTTAGAAGTTGATATGGAAATTCAGATGGCATATTACACATCCTACCATCGCCATTAACAGATTTCATTGATTGAACATAGCATTGTCATGTAAGCTATAGGATAGATTATTATAAAGATTGTGTGTAAAAACCTAGCATAAGTTTGTCATGCCAATGTCTCTACTAGCACCCCTTGCCTTGCTTTAGTTTATAACAGTGATCAACGATTTCTAAGTTGAGTATTCTGATTTGAAGATGAAATTGCATTCTGACTATAGGTTGTGAATTTCAGGTATAAACTAGATGTTGTGAGTGCTGGAAAGAATTTTACAAAGATCAGGAAGGCAATTACGGCAGGGTTTTTCTTCCACGGTGCTAGAAAGGACCCGCAGGAGGGTTATAGAACCCTAGTGGAGAACCAACCAGTTTATATACACCCAAGCAGTGCCCTCGTCCAGAGACAACCAGATTGGGTGATCTACCATGAGCTGGTTATTATGACCACAAAGGAGTACATGCACGAGGTGGCGGTTGTCGACCCCAAATGGCTCGTGGAACTGGCACATAGGTTCTTCAAAGTGGCAGATCCCACCAAGATGAGCAAGCGCAAGCGTCAAGAACGTATTGAACTGCTATATGATAGATACCATGAACCTAACTCTTGGCATCTTAGTAAGAGACGTGCTTGATATGTGTATCATCTGCTGCTTTTGGTTTTTCTGTATGGATTCAATATGAATATCTTGTAATTACTTGAGCTAATTTTTTACTTTGAGTGCACAAAATTTGTGTGGACATCCTCGTGAAATTCCTTCAACGTCGCAATAAGGGCGTCATGAATTGCTTATTTTCCTTACTGCAAGCAAGCTGGGGGTAGAATCTGTTGTGTAATTTAAAGGCTACTTTATTTCTTGATTTCTACTTTAGGAGATATTAGCTGTTCTGTTCTCTGGACAATGAATTGTTAGGAAATGAAAGAATCATAGTGTATTCTTGAATGTATCAAGGCACTCAAATATGTAGTCTTGAAGAATCAGTTATCAAATATCTTTGTACTGGTAATTTCAATTCTGTGGCCTCAGGCTTTAAGCCAAGAAAAGTAGGGATAAATAAACCATTTAGTTTTATAACCTCTTTCAACTATGCCATGTTTAGTACAAATGTTCGAAGTACACTAGTACAGTTTCCTCATCAAACCCACTTAAAGCACAAAAACTAAAGTACACTGAGACTGAAGATCCAAGCAATCTGAGGGGTTGTGGAAATCTGCATTCTTTAGTGTAGAAAACTCATCCAGTATGGTACTTGAAACAGAAGGTTCAATAACAGTGCCTACACCACTACCAACATCAACGTTTGGACAACCTGGGAGTCGCCTATATAAAAGTTCAACCATGCCATGTTTAGGAGATATAAAAGTCACATCAAGCGCAAATGTTCCAAGCCGGAAACACCTCAACAATGCATCCTAGTGCAAACCTGAGTTGTCTGCCAGGGCTTGCCTGGAGAAAGCCTGGGCGTCGCCTAGGCTGCAGAGGTAAACTGAGACTGAAGATCCTGGCTCGAGCTCAGGTTACAAACCAAGGAATCTGAGGGGTTGTGGAAATCTGCATTCTTTACTGTAGAAAACTCATCCAGTATGGTACTTGAAACAGAAGGGTCAATAACAGTGCTTACACCACTACCAACATCAACGTTTGGACAACCTGGGAGTCGCCTATATAAAAGTTCAACCATGCCATGTTTAGGAGATATAAAAGTCACATCAAGCGCAAATGTTCCAAGCCGGAAACACCTCAACAATGCATCCTAGTGTAAACCTGAGTTGTCTGCCAGGTCTTGCCTGGAGAAAGCCTGGGAGTCGCCTAGGCTGCAGAGGTAAACTGAGACTGAAGATCCTGGCTCGAGCTCAGGTTACAAACCAAGGAATCTGAGGGGTTGTGGAAATCTGCATTCTTTACTGTAGAAAACTCATCCAGTATGGTACTTGAAACAGAAGGGTCAATAACAGTGCTTACACCACTACCAACATCAACGTTTGGACAACCATAAATCCCACTTTGATTGTTGCTCTCATCTGACAAATCTCTCAGACTGCTTGAGTTAGAAATACAATTAAGGCTACCTGGATCTCGATGGGATGAAGTGAGCTGATCCACGTGGGGTAAGAGCCTACAATTATTCAGGCTTTTATCCCACATTTCCTGACCAATTGAAGTTAGGGAGGAATTATTTGCTTCAGTTAAAACAGCTAAAGAATCTTGCAAATCAAACACAGTCCCCAGTTATCCAAGTGTCCCAGCAAAGGGTTGACAAGACTGGTAAAATATGCATTCATCATTGTCCAGGAATGGAAGCGAACCATTTGTGCTATTGAAATCTGAATTAGGCATATCAGTTTGTTGGGAGTGGTAAAGTAATGATTCCAAAGGCGGCTGCATAGGCCGTGGGCTAGTTTGTAGTTGTGCTGCACTTTGGTTTTGGTTGGCAACCCTTGGTTTTTCTGAAACTCTCACAGAAAAACTCTAACTTCTGCTCCAGCCACTTCCTAATTATCCAACTTGTTTTCTCCTCTTGTGTTATCTTACTTCATCCCATTACCTACACAAGCCAATGGACAAGAGATAGGATATCTGATTGTCCTCCACGTTCTTTCCTTTTAGT